ATTTCTCGTCTCATTTCTTATTTGAGTTTTGAGTAATTATCTTAGTATATTAATTCATTTTACATAGCATTTCAGACCTTGTAATTTTTATACTATCCCGTTTTACTGGTGGATCATGATGATTTCTTGTCTCATTTCTTATTTGAGTATTGAGTAATTATCTTAGTGTATTAATTGCAAGTTCTAAGGCCTCTAAGGCGATTGACATGTGCCTTGTCCATTTGGGTGTAATAAATAGGTTTTGAAGATATTTTTGGTTTCATCCATGTACTTGTCTGTCCCAGCAATCTAAGAGAATTTTTTATACATATTTAGGTGTAAATATTTGGCTTTCTCAGTTTCCCAAGTATTATCAACTTTTCAAATAAATTGAGTGGCGCCCTTAAAAAAAAACTTGAATTGATGGGCATTTAATTCTAACGCGAATTCACTTATCTGTTCTCCGATGAAAAGCTGCCGTCTGCATACATGTAACTTATTTTCTTATATTCTGTAGTAATTATTTGGAGGTTGAGAAAAGTAGGCTACATTACATCCAAAGCTTCTTTCCTCTTAGTTTTGGATTTTAACAAATTATTTGTGGCATCTTTCCATTTGTACCGGATAATCCTCAGAGTTATATACAGGGTCTACCCTGTTGACTACATTTGATGGGAGTTGGCAACTTTTCCCAAAAACAAGTTCATATGGAGTGTAACGTGTTTCTGTATGAACCGTGATATTGTACGAAAAGCACCAATAGGGCACCCACGAACTCCAACTGTTCCCAGGTAGCACATCATATTGGCTGGAACCCGATTTCATATTGGGCCGATATAGATATATCGTACATATGAAGAAATAACGTAAATCTTCCTCAATATTTTCTGAATACTCTTTATTTTCTATTGAATACACGAATGACAATACTTTTTTATTTTTTATGACAATCGTTCTGCCAAACAAACTTCAAAAAACATCTCCACACCAACCTCCTTCTGTTTCGCTGCCTATTTGATTCTCACACGGCCAACCTGACAAGATAATTCGCTCTCGAATTATCAGTCTGCAACCCTATAGCTATATCTACGGAGAGAGAAAAAAAAATATAAAACATAAGATTTGGTTAACTTGAATCTTCAAACGATATTGCTAAATCAAGAATAAAATCAACTATTATTCCATATATCAAATTTTGCATTCAACAACCAGCATTGCCTGCGAAGCGTCCGGCTTCCAATAGATTGAAATATAGTGCAAAGCGTCCCGCTTTCAACACCCAATATTACCTGCGAAGCGTCCCGCTTTCAACAGATCGAAACTATATAGTGCAAAGCGTCCCGCTTTCAACACCCAATATTACCTGCTGTGAAGCGTCCCGCTTCCAACAGATCGTAATAATATAGTGCAAAGCGTCCCGCTTTCAACACCCAGTATTACCTGTGAAGCGTCCCGCTTCCAACAGATCAAAATATATAAGTGCAAATCAAGACGCACACTCAACTTCACTCAACGTTAAATAGACATAGTCATCATTATTTATGCAGAAAGCATACTTCATACCGTGAAAAACTGTGAAATTTTACACTGACAAACTACAATATTTCAAATGAAAAACGTACTTTACCTGACTATATTTCTGAAAATTCACCTGGCCAAATTCTGATCTTGTCTTTGGCAACAACTCTTCTTCTGTTCGTAGCAAGGTTTTTAATTTCGTATCTCTCATTAGGCAGGATGCGTAGCACCTCGAATGGGCCGTCATATTTTTTATCCAATTTTGCCAGATGATTATCACCTGAAGGGTGGAATACGAAGTCTCCCACTTTTATGATTTTATTGGATCTTCTTGTTTTATCAAAAAGATCCTTCGAATATTCGGCATGTTCTCTCATACGCTGGTATGCCAGAATTCTATCTTGTTCTAACCGGTGAGGAACATCAATTGTTGGAACGGAACTTGTTAAAATTTTTATAATAGGTAAATCCCCATTCACCCCTGTTAACAGATATATAGGAGTGAAACCTGTGGTCTTTTGCTTGGTAGAATTCAGTACCGTCTGCAGTTTAGAAATTACATTCGGCCATTCTGATTTATTATCTATTTCAGTTCTAAGTAGATTCAGAACAGTGGCGACGTATCTCTCTACTTGTCCATTTCCACGGGGTGCGCTTTTTGCAATCAAATGTTGATTTATGCCTAATTCTGATAACATTAACTTGACTGATTTATCAGTGAAATTGGTTCCTCTATCGCAGATCAAAGTTTTTGTAATTGAGAACATGTTCAAATATAATTTTAAAACATTACATGTTTCTTGGCCGGACAAGGTTTTCAAAGGTATCAAGAATATAAATTTTGTGAAGGAATCTACGAGTAAGAGGAGATATTTATAACCCTCTGAAGATATCGGGAAAAGACCGACACAATCAGCATGTACAGTGTGAAAAGGAATAGGCTTTTTATTCAATGGGTGAAGAACGGCTTGCTTTGGGCCCGTATGGTTTTTACCGATTATACATTTGAGACAATGTCGACAATACTTATTTACAAATCTAGCCATACCTGGAAACCAAAAGTAATGTATGATTTTATTCAAAGTTTTATCTGGACCTATGTGACACTGTTCATCATGAAACATTCGCAACAAACCTAGGCGATATCCTTTTGGAACGAAAGCACAATACATTGTCGGACTATGATCAGAATTCATTTTTCTGAATAAAATGCCATTTTGACAAAAGTAGTCTGTTGTTAGTTTACCATCATTCAGCTTTTGTTTGATATTATTGGTTTCTGGATCACTATTTTGGGCCTTTTTCAACCAGTTATCAGTCGAAATTATGTTTATCTTAACTTCGTTTGGGATGGATTCAGGTATTATGGGATTTCTACTGAGATAGTCAACGTGTTGTATGTACTTTCCTTTTCGATACTCAATTTCAAAATTGAATGATTGTAAAAACATCCACCACCTTGCAACCCTAGGGAGCAGTTCTTTCTTATTTTGGGACAATTTGAGAGAGTTACAGTCAGTCACTATTTTGAATTTTATTCCCAATAAATAAATCCGAAAATTTTTCACAGCATAGTAAACTGCTAAAGTCTCCAGCTCATATGAGTGATATTTTGCTTCATCCGCAGATGTTCGTTTTGAAAAATAAGAAACAACTTTCAATTGATTGTCTATATTATCACGCTGAAATAGAATCCCACCAAAGCCTATCATACTCGCATCAGTGTGCAGCTCCGTATATGATTCTGGGTTGAAAAAAATTAATAAAGGCCTTTTACTTAAAAAGGCGCAGATGTAACTTTTCGCGATTTTTTGATCATCACCCCATACAAATTTCTGATTTTGTTTTGTTAGTTTCGTGATACTCGCTGATCGTGATGCAAGTTCAGGAATGAATTTCCGAAAATAATTCGCCAGCCCCATGAATTGGCGAACTTGTTTAACATTTTGTGGGTCAGGAGCTCTTAATAGTGCCTCCACTTTGCTTTTTCCAGGTCTCATACCACTCTCAGATATTTCTTGTCCTAGATATTCAATTTGAGTTTCAAAAAAATTACATTTTTTTATATTTAAGGAGAATCCCGCTTTGGAGAGAGCAGCTAAGACGCGATCTAGTTTATCTAATCCTTCAGGTATAGTTTTAGATGGTATGAGAATATCGTCTAAGTAGATCAATGCATCTTTATCTTTCAACTTACCTAATGCATTACATATAGATCGCTGAAAAACAGCTGGAGCGTTTGACAAACCAAACGGAACACGCAAATATTCAAAATGACCATCGGGTGTCACGAATGCGGTTTTCTCAATTGAATCATCAGCGACAGGTATCTGATGGAAACCAGAAGCCATATCCAATGTGGTAAAGAATTTGTTTTGACCTAAATTATCCAGCTGGTCTTGTATGAGTGGGAGCGGGTACCGATCTTTGATTGTGATTTTATTAAGAGCTCTGTAATCTACACATAAACGCCTAGTCCCATCTTTTTTGTGGACTAATAAAATTGGACTAGCATATGGAGAGCTGCTCTCACGGATTATATTATTAGTCAACAAATCTTTGATAATATTTTTCACTTTCTCTCTTTCACATAAAGCCATTCGATAAGGATGATAAGCTATTATTTTATCCTCCTTCAGTTTAATACTGAGTTTAGCTGTTGTTATCGCAGTTACAGAATTTCCTGTTGTAATATTAGCAGAATATTTGGCAAGAAGACTCAACAAATTTTCCAAATCAATACCTTTTAATGGAGACTTCATTGTTTCAGGTGAAATGATGATATTATTGATTGATTTGGAAATAACATCACGATAATTGCTCAAATACAATCGGGTTCCCCTATAGTTTGTGAAAATCTCTACACCTTTATAAGTGAGTAGGTCTCTTCCTAGAATAACATCTGGAATCATACATGAAGAATCCACTACATAGAAACAAATGGTGAAGGCTATCCCATCTCTCTCTATGTTTAGAGTGGTTTTGAAATTCGCAAATGTTGAACTATTACCTATTCCTTTCAACACAATAAAAGCAGGTTGAAGATTACAATGCAGTACATTTGCAACCTTGTCCGACAACAAACTGCATTCAGCACCTGTATCAACTAAACAAGTCACTGTTATATCTTGTATTTTGAATTCGGTACAAAAATCTGTATTTAAGTTGATGCAGAAATAATTAATTCGAGAGTTAGTTGGTTGTTCTCGTTTCTTAATAAAACAATTATCAACTTCATGTCCAACTTTCTTGCAATAAGTGCACAGTGTTTTAGTATTATTATGGATACGAACATTCTTATTTCCTGCGTTATCCCCGGCCGAATGTCCTTCACGAATCTTATTAGGACAGCTCCGGTAAATGTGCCCTGGCTCATTACAGTGATAACATAACTTTGACTCATCTCGTGATTCAAGTGGGTAACTCCTTTTGAATCTCTTATTTTGAAAATTTCGGGGAGCATTCATCTTGTAATTCCCCAACAGAACTAATAAATCACTCACTGAATCAACTTTACTATTGAATGCAGCCGTTTTCACGTGAATGTCGGTTATGTCACCAATGACAAGTTCCGACAATTGATCATCGGATAAATCGAAATTCAAAGCTTTAATCAGAGAAATTTTCTTTCTGGCATACTCACAATATGATATTGCCTCATCACTGGTGTATAAGCTAACTTTCCTTAACTTCTGACTGAGGTTTTTCTTAGCTGGGTACAAACTACAAATTTCTGACTTGAAATTCTCCCAAGTTTTCTCAACGGGTTTCCATTTCATGAACCAATCTTTTGCTTCCCCAATCAATCCACTAGCGCCTCTTATCAGCAATTCATAGCCAGACCATTTGAACATATCACCCAACTTCTCAATTTCCTCACACCAAAGATTTACTTCGTCATCTTCCGAGTCGGGATCAAAAGTCGGAATAGAAACTGTGGTGTTCACTGTACTTTTGGACTGTTCTCTCAAAGAATTCATCGTATCGGCCAATATCTTTGCAAACTCTTCCATACTGAGTGGTTCTTCTAGTGATTCTATTCCACTTCTGATATGAAGAAATAACGTAAATCTTCCTCAATATTTTCTGAATACTCTTTATTTTCTATTGAATACACGAATGACAATACTTTTTTATTTTTTATGACAATCGTTCTGCCAAACAAACTTCAAAAAACATCTCCACACCAACCTCCTTCTGTTTCGCTGCCTATTTGATTCTCACATACATGTGAAAAATAATATAGGTCCAATATGAGAGTATATTGGACAAACAATATTGGAATGATAATATTGGTGGAATATTGGTTCAACCTGAGCTGAATATGGATTGTCAGCTACAATATTGGAGCAATATAGGTTGTAAAATTCATTAACAATGTGTTGAAAAACATATCTATGAATGTTATATAATATTGTTTTACGAATGTCGATACAACAACATCGTATACATATTGTTCCCGACATTTACAACCAATATTGCAATTTGAACATTCTCCCCATGTCGATTCTGAAGCGGTTATGCGATATTGTATATTCAAGTTGAACGGCATATCGGTTGGATATTGTTTTAACAATATTTGAAACATAATATTCACCCATCTTGATTGATATCATTTTATCTATATCATGCGGAAGATATCGTATACAATTTGCTTCTTACATATATAACCAATATCGCGATTTGAATATTGTCCTCATGTTGATTTTGAAGCGGTTGTGCAATATTGTATATTTGAGTTCAACGGCATATTGGTTGAATATTGTTTCAACAATATTCGAAATATCATATTCACCTATCTTGATTAATATCATTCTATCCATATCATGCGGAAGATATCGAATACATATTGTTTCCAACAATTATAACCAATATAGCAATTTGAACATTCTCCCCATGTCAATTCTGAAGCGGTTATGAAATATTGTATGTTCGAGTTCGACGGTATATTGGTAGAATATTGTTTCAACAATATTTGGAACATAGAATTCACCAATATTGACTGATATCATTCCAACTATATCGTGCGGAAGATATCGCACACATATTGTTTTCAACAACTATAACCAATATCGCAATTCAAACATTCTCCCCATGTCGATTCTGAAGCGGATATACAATATTGTGTAATCGGATTCGACGGCAAATTGGATGAATATTGTTTCAATTGATATCATGCGGAAAATATCGTATACATATTGTTTCCAACAATCATAACCAATATCGCAATTTGAACATTCTCCCCATGTCGATTCTGAAGGGGTTTTCAATGATTCAAATATGAATATCAATAACAGCAATTCAATATATATCTTATATCGGACATAGAAGAGAAAAACAATATTGTAATTTCAAGTTCAATTGCAAATCGGGTGAATAGTTTTCTAGCAATATTCAGAAAATGATATCATCTTATATTGGCTGATATGTGATTCACTATATCATGTGAGCAATATTGTTCACATATTGTTTTGAGAATACATATCGATAACGAAATTTCGATAGTTATTCCATATTACGCACTCCCAAATCGATGTCGATAGATGGCGCTATAAATGATTGGTAACGTACTCCCATTGCCGATCAGACGAGAGAATATAAATATCAGCTCTAGACGATTGTAAAGTATTATAACCTGGAGTAGGGGTTAACCGTGATCAACAAGGAGGCTTCCCCAAAGCAAGGCCCTTCCATTGCACTCCGGCTGGGCTGACCTTCATGATTATTCCTGATGCGAATAACTCGCAAATGTTGGTATGAAAATATTCCACCAATATTTTGAAGACAACATGGCTACATAATGATTCTCAATAATGTACCAATATTTCCAACCAATATTGCACCAGTATTGTCAAATGTTCACTGTCCATTTATCAGCAATATTGATATCACATTTGGTGACCAATATAACTTCACGAATATTCCAGCAATATTGGTATGAGAATATTCTACCAATATTTCTGAGACAACATACCTTCATGATGATTTTCAATGATTCACCGATATTTTCATATATTACACCAATATTGCCGAATGTTCTCCATTAATTTCTCGCCAATATTGATATTACATTTTGTGTCCGATATAACTCTACGGATATTCAACCAATATTAATATGAGAATATTCTTCCCACATTTGGAAACTGATATTGTACCAATATCGCCGAATGTTCACATTTTTTTTCTCGCCAATATTACTTTGACAATATTTTGCCGATATTTTCGTAATATTGCACCGATATTGTCCCAATATATGTGTGCTACTTGGGTCAGGATGCTTTTCCATCTGAATTCGCAAATAAGCACCCACATTTTTATGAGTATTCTCAAGTGCTCCCAAAGTCTCATGATGATAAGCTGTAGATTTCAGTGATACCTAACAACTTAGAAGTTTCCTGAAATGTTGAAGCTAAAAACTCAGTACCTTGGTCGGTACCTATCGCTTTAGGTATACCAAACCTCAAGATGAAATTTGCTACCGTTACCGCTTCTTTGTTAGGTATGGGATAGCCTTCAACAAACTCAGAGAATTTGCATTGTGGGGTGAGAATATATCGATTATTGCTTTCGTCAGAATTAAGAGGCCCTACAAGATCAAGATATATTTTTTGCAAAGCTGTTTCTGCGGTAGTGGTAATTGTCAATGGTTCCTTATTAGGTCTGGAATGTTTATACCTTTGACGATCATCACATCGCTTCACGAACCGATTTTCAAACCTGGCCAAAAATAATATTTCTTTATATTATCATACATTCTGTCGATTCCCGTATGGAAATCATTCATAATCAATTGTCTGGTTTCTTTATCATCAATTATTTGGAAGTCCTTCATTATGGAAATTTTTATACCAGTATTTTTCAATTCACTTTTCATTCCCATTATACTTTCAATTAATGACTTGGCATTCTCCTCATCAACAATACATAATTCAGGGATTCTTTGTTGTACACATAACTTTTTCAGCTCCCTCAGTGACGCACCGAATGCTGACACTGATCAGGGAGACTGTTTCAAATATATAATCCCTGCATTTGAATCGTATTTCAAATTATCGTGAACACTTTCATCAATCCCTTTCTTTCTAACGATTTTGTCAAAATTTTCATCTGCAATAGGTCTTAGTTCAATAGATTCTACAGGGCGTTTCAGTAATTCTACCACTCCAGGGTGATCAATCCTGCTATGTGTAGAAATCACTTCATCCCTATCACGATTAAAATCTATTTTCTTTCTTTGAGCTGGCGTCATAAGGAACATATTATCAGGAACTTTTTCACTCATTACTTCAAGTTCGTCTGAATCAATCTGAATCCTAGAAAGAGCATCTGCGATAACATTTTCAGAACCCTTTATGTGAGTTCCTGTGGAATCATATTCTTCTAATACTAATCTGAATTTAGTCAGGCGACTCGATGGATTGGTCATGCCGAAAAATATACTAACGGTCAATGGTCTGTGAATATATCAAATTTTTGACAATACAGATACAGCCCAAAATGTTTGACTGCAAATACAATTGCCAGTAACTCTTTTTCGATTTTACAATAATTCTTTCTAGCCTCATTCAACGAACGACTTGCGTATGCTACTGGTTGGTCGTTAGAATTTGATGAAACAGCTCCGACCGCAAATCCGGAAGCATCAGTTCTTAGTATAAATCTAGTATTTTCGGGAGTCTTTTTATCTGATATTTTTCACGATCCGTGGTAAACGCTGTATATGGTCTGCTACTAGGGTCCAAACCCACTTGGTAGTACCCTTGCGATAAATCTAGATGTGAAAAATAGACAGCCCCTGATAACGAATCCAGAATTTCGGTTATACAGGGCAGTGGAAATTTATCGTCTTCTATTCTTCGATTTAAAAGCCTATAATCAATTACTATTCCCCACTTCTTTTTGCTGTCCCTACTCATCTTTTTAGGAACTATTGGCAAAGGCGATGACCATTTTGATTTGGCCTCCTCAATAATTCCATCATGTAGCATTTTTTCTACTTGTTCATGGATTTCTGTTTTTTGAGCATGAGGTGATCTATAAGGCTTCACATATACCGGTTTTGCGTCATGCTGTAACTGAATTTCATGTAAACAAACATTAGTTACTGAAAGGTCATCATTTTCCAGATAGAAAACATCAGCATATTTCGCACAAATTTTTTCTATCGACACTTTTCCTTCCCTATTTGATGACTCTGTATCAATGAGATCTAACAATCTATCCACTCGTGCAATAAAGATCTCATCAGTACCGAAATTACAAAACTCAAAGTCCGAAAGTTTTTCACTCTTAGGTTTGAAATTTTGAAGCTCAACTTCTCTATCTTGGACATTAGGAATTCGTACTGGAATCATATTATTATTTGGTCTCGCAATGACACTCGCAGTATATACGCCCTCAGTCAACTGCTCACTCGAAACAACACAATCATCATTACTATCAATCCAACAATATTTCACAATTTCACATCTGGGAGGAATGACCGTGTAGCAATCATACTTTGACTGCAATGGAATTGTAACCTTCTTGTTATAATTCATAAATGAAACACAAAATTTCTCGAAATCGATGGTTGCTGAATATTTAGTTGAAAAACCAGCACCAAAAACTCCATGCATATCATTCGTAAATTCATTACTAACGAACAATTCATGCACCACATTCACATCATCTGTTTTCAATGAAATATTTACTGAACCCAATGAAAATTTCGAACCAGCAATTCCTATTATTCTGATTATCTTTGAACTATCAATGACTTCACTCTTTCCTACATACTTTGCAAAAATCACGCTAATAGTCGCTCCTGTATCAATTAAAAATTTCAGACTATAACTTCCATACCTCATACAAACGAAATTCATCCCATTCATACTTAATACCACATTATCTCTTATATTCTGGTCATTATCGGGGGCACGAAAGAACCGCTCGTCTAAAAAGGAATGATTTGCCTCATTTTCGCCATTATAAGAATTTG